GAAGAAGAAACTTTTGCATAAATCAACACATTCAAGTCAAGATCAAGATGAGTCCTCAATTTCTCAGAATAATTCTTCTATATTCCTGCTGAAAGCGTCTGACTGTGTCGTCTCAAACCTGGCAGAAGATTCTGCAGAAACTAAAACCAATACAAGCAATTCACAATCATCAACCAAATTGAGTGTTTACAAAGCAAGAGAAGCTCAAGTACTACCCAAGGATACAAAAGTTTCCTATGATTATATAGTAGCCCAAGATTTTATACAAGAAGTGTCTTCGGAGTTAATAGATGAAGATGATATCCAAGTTATTGATGGAAATCAGGAGCTTACAACTGACATGACAATAGAAGTTGAGCTTGCTCATTTATTTCTAAATGTAAGTATTGAAAGGAAGAACACTACGCAAGTTAAACAAAAAGAAATTTCATATCGTTACTTATATGGGAAAAGGTTCGAAGAAAGTGTTCAAGAAATTATTGCCAGAGATAACGTTTCAGATCAGACGGCAAGAAAACAATTATTTCAAGATATAATAAAATATCTTTCTAGAATAATACTGAAAACCTTACGTAAAGAACCCAAAGGGCTATAAAGATTTACAAACTGTTTAAAAAGATAAGAGTAGATAGAATTAAGAATATCAAATCTTACAGTGCAGATTCTATTTCAAAGTTTATTAAGCCTCAAATTCAAATTATTCTAGATTATTTCAGTGAATCTTGCTATGCTGATACAGAGATAAAAAAACCTAACTCATACTCTGAATACAAAGATATAGAAAAGTGAGACCTAAAGTTCCACTTGAGAAAAGCTAAGGGTCTGTCCTAAAAAAATTACTAAATGTTAAGATAAGCACTCCGCCCACTTCTCAAACTTTGAAAACTAATCAAACTAATGCATTAGAGGTGCAAGAGAAACTAACTTATGATCGATCCTATTTTTGTAGCAAATTATTAGATCAATATCTTAATTTACAGTGGCTACTAAAAGAAACGCAATTGTGATTGGTTACCTTTAAACGGCTATAACTCATCAACCACAAATGCTAGAAACATGATCTTGTACTTGTTTTAAAGCCCAAATC